CTCACCACCAGTCAGGCAGAACTGATGAAGCCTCTTGGATGAGAGGTGAAACGTCTTTTCCCTAAAACTACGACCAAGTTTTTTTCAGCATATATTACGTGAACCACTACATTGTATATCTTATCACGTAGCCCATAGGTACATTTGTGTCTGTGTGTTAGTAATTTTGCCTGACATGAGTTCAGTATTGCACCATATATGTACGTATATACAATATGTTACAAGCAACAGCAGGTGGTCATATGCCAGGAACAGCTGGGACATTTGAGACTCCTGTATAAACATAACCTTCTAGATTGTACTAAGTTTCATGGGGCCTCAAAGCCTACATTTTAGCCTCTGTATAAGGTGCTATACAAGTTTAGATGCACCATTAAAGGTGACTAGGTTAGGTTAAGCAAAGCAAGAGTATAGGTACTTAGGTGAGGCGTTGGTCAGAGAGGCAAGGAGTGGAGCCCAGAGGGGAAATGCAGGGATGAGAGGAACCAGAGGTTGTGGAGGTCGGTTTGGCTGGGAATGTGGTGGCAGGTGTGTGAAACCCAGCAGGTAAGTTGCAGGCCAGAGCTTGCAGTGTCGCAAGGAGGTTGGAACCAAGCTGGTAAGCTGCGCAGATCTGAGGAACTTGCGACTTTGCTGGAAAGCTGGAGCCAAGCACATGAGCTGGGCAGAGCTGAGGAGCTTGCGCCGTCACTGGGAGGTTGGAGCAGCTGGTGGCCTCGCTGAGAAGACAGTGCCAAGCAGGGAAGCAGAGCAGGGCTGGTGTTGTCGTTGGATGGTGGTGTTGACAGTAGAACAAAGATCAAGCAATAGGTTGGCCAACAAAGGTTCAGCAAGAACTGCAGAATAAACTAGCAAAAGAGAATACTCTGGACGCTAAGTAGGTACCAGGCCAATGAGAGAATCAGCCACAACTGCGCCAGTATATAGCTTGGAGTTGGCTTCTTAAACCAAAGGCTTATGTCAAAATGTAGTTTCCAAAAACATGTCCACACTATGCCACCGTTTTCACATGTAAATGGCTCCTTTGAGCTGTTGTTGTTTACTAAGGATTCTGGGGGCGGCTGTGGCTCAGGAGGTAGAGCGGGTTGTTTCCTAACCGGAGGATTAGCAGTTTGATTCCCGGCTTGTCCAGTCAACATGTCGAGGTGTCCTTGAGCAAGACACTAAACCCCCAGTTGCTCCCGGTGATGTCACTGGTGTGTGAATGCGTGAGTGCTTGGGAGTGCAAATGGGTGAATGGCTGAATAATGTGTGAAAGTGCTTTGAGTGTGCTGCAAAAGCATAGAAAGGCGCTATACAAGTATAAGACCATTTACCAGTGCTAAACAGCCACACCCATGACCCTAGCTCAGTCTGCCAGGAGAGGTAGAGAGCTGTCGTGATAGATACTGTATGTGCGGTGTTCACCTAAGCTGCAAAAATTTCATGTCCTGAGTCTTGTTCAATCAGCCAAATAAAAAGTCATCAAAGTCTTTTCATTTAGCGTTTTCTCATTTAAATGTGAGCTTGGGAGGAGCTCAGAGTGGAACCACTGCTCCTCCACATCGAGAGGAGCCAGCTGAGGTGGCTCGGGCTCTGTTTCAGATGCCTCCTGGGCGCCTTCCTGGGGAGGTGTTCCGGGCAAGTCCCATCTGGAGGAGGCCCTGGGGAAGACCTAGGACACGCTGGAGGGACTATGTCTCTCGAATGGCCTGGGAACGCCTTGGGATTCCCTCTGAGGAGGTGGAGGAAATGTCTGGAGAAAGGGAAGTCTGGGCATCTTTGCTTAGACTGCTGCCCCTCGCAACCTGGTCTCGGATAAGTGGAAGAAGATGGATGGATGGATCATTTAAATGTTAGCACCCATTTTACATCAATATCAATGTTTATAATACATTTATAAATTTAAAAATGCACAAAACAGTAACAGCTTGTAGTAAAAACCTTGTGGTTCTTGCTTTCTCAGGGTGTCCTCAGCAACAACTCTCCAAACAAACACCTCATGAACTTAAGAAGGCTCAAAAGACAGATTTAAATTTAGGATCCATGGGTGAATATGAATTCTTTTTTAATAGGTTTCACCCAAATGACAAAGAACACAGCCTACCTTTACAGACTACATTCATTACTGCAGTGTAGTTACAATAAATGCAGACATTTTAGAGATTAATGTTGCAATCTGGACAAATGAAAACCTGGTTTCATTTTTAATTTGGGTGAACACCTTTAGAGGTTAGTCTGCAGTCTGCAGCTCACTTGGAATCTTGACGGAGGTGATATCAAAGATAGTACTAGTTTAAAGGTACTATCCCCAAAATTTGACTGATGGAAAAACAAATAAAGTGAGCACAGTTGAGTCAAGTTGAGCCAGTACCAGGTGAACTCTGAACACTGACTTAGTGCTTTTATCATTGTAGTGTTAGAGTTTTAAACTGTAAGAGTTTTTATGTAAGAATGTAACAGTGTTAATGATGTGACCTCTTTTGAATGTGCTAGTTTAACGTTTTATCTGCTTAAGTTTGACGTAACCTTCCACTTCCAGGTTCAAACTCCCAAAGACCCAAACTGTGAAGCCTATCATCCTTTATATGGTAAATCATCTTATACTTGTATAGCACTCTTCTATGCATTGCAGCACACTCAAAGCACACTACACCTAGTAGCATAATAACCAAACTTTTTTATGTGTACAGTTAGTAAATCTATTCTGATATATAACCTATATTGAGTTATGTCTAACTCATTCTTCAACAGTTCCCAACAATGAGGACAACAACACTGTGGCATATAGAGAACAAGTAGAAGGTGTTAATTTTAGCTCTAAGGGTAAGCTATAGATTTACATACGGTAAAAACACATTACAGTATGGTTTAAGATATTTACTAAATTATTAATGCTAAATTGAGAAACAATGTAAAATGTCCATATTTATAGCACTTTTTATAGAGATAAGCAGCATTTAACTGCATTCATTCTTAAGTTTCTAGCAATCCTTTAGCATCTGTAAACACATCAGGGTGGTGCAGAAAAGGTACTAACTCCTCAGCTCGTCCAGGGGGCACTGTTCTGCAGCTACTGAAATAAAAGGAGTCCTATCCAGCA